TTTTTTTGAGACAGGGTCTCACTATTTGAGACTGACCTGGAACTCACTATATACCCCAGGCTGGTCTTGAACTCAGAGCGATCCTCCTGCCTCAGCCTCCCAAGTGCTGGGATTATAGGCATGAGCCACTATCCCCAACTATGTTTTTTGTTTCTATTAAGATTTATGAGGTTTGTGTTACGTACTGCTTCTTGTAGTCATCTTTATACCTAAGCCAAGTTCGTGTTTCTGCTAAATGATGCTGTTTGTTGGGGGAGGGACTGGCATGACTTGGGGGAAAACATCCTACTGGGGACACAGAAATATAGGAATGAGGGTGACTTCATGCTGCACCTTGGCAGCTGGACAGAGAGGTTTCAGGTGATGCAGGAAGCTTCGGGGCAGATGGTAACAGAATTGGGTTTGAGGAATTTTGTCTGCTATGAATATGGAGGTGGCTTAGAGAGTGGAAAGCTAGAATCAGGGAGACATATTAAGGAAAAAAATTCTTCTGTTAAGAAATGTGTTATGTATGTCTATCTCTACAACTATGTCTCATAAAATCATGTCCCCACTCTATACCCCAACAGTAGAAATTTCTTGGTTGTTTATTCATTCTGCATGAGCCAACATAAAAAAGAGTACTAGTGTTTGTTATGGTTTAGAACTAAGCCCCCCACCCCAATTCTCACGTGTGTGGACTTGATTGGATCACGGGTGCCGTAGTCATCAATGGCTTTGCCCACTGAAAGGTTCAGTAGCTGAATGTGCTGTTAGGAGGTGGGGCCTGGTTGGAGGTGGTCACTGGAGGCTTGACCTAGAAGGTTCTATTTCCCTCCCAGGCTCCACTCTTCACTCTCTGCTTTCTGGCTGCCAGGGACCTTTTCTTCTGCTATGCCTTTGTGCCACACTGTTTCTGCCTCGGAGTGGCGGACCACAGACTGAAACTGTGAGGCAAAATAAACCTCTCCTCCCTCAAGGTGTCAGTGTTGGGTATTTTGTCCCAGCAATAAGAAAGCAACTGAGACAGTGCTATTGCTGGGAGCAGAGACACTATAAGACTCTGGAGGGCACACGTGGGGCTTTCATTTTCAAATTGGTAGTCCCTGGAATATAGCAGGTCTTAAAAAATGTTCATCGGGTGAGTAAATGGAAATGAGAGTGAATGAAAATGGAAGGAGAGCATAGATTCTTTTGTTAAACAGTTAAATTACAATGGTAACTCCAGATTCCGTATATATCTTTTCCTCTGAGAACTGCACCCCTAAACAACATATTATTCTGTTTCCTTTCAGACATGCTATCCTGAATGAATAAATACCTGCTGAGAGCTACAGAATGCATAAAAGAGTTTGTCTATGAAAGTACTCTACCAAACTCATGTGGAAGAAAGGCCTTGCGAACTAAAGGTCATCCATGCATTCCCTTAGCTGGCAAACACAAGGCCCATATAGGTATATCTATCCTCATGCAATGAGAAATACATCAATATGGGGTCCAATGGGAAAAACCCTGCCATAACTATGAAAATTATTTATTTTCACAGATGGAAGAAAATCTTAAAAAAATATGTCAGTAAAATACAGGACACCAAGTTTATACATATAGAAATATGGGTTGATCAGTAAGGTTTGTATTATCACTATCATTCCTATCTTGCAGAGTTGTGGTAAGAGTCAAAGACCAGGGAAAACTTCGAAATGTTACCAATATGCTGGGACCGTGGGCAAAGAGCCTCGAAAGACTTGGTGAAGCAAAAGCAAAATGAAAAGATAAGATACATGTTGAGAAGACCTGGTCTCACCTATCTCAAAATTGGGGACCACTTAGAGGAGCCATGGATTGAACGTCTAGAGTCCTAAGACCAGAAGCTTATAAACATGAACCTAAGTTTTCTTTGGTATTAAAGGACTGGTCTGTCAAGCTGCTTTGGATGACTGTTTTTCACCTTTACTAGAGCTCACTACTCATTCCTAAAAATCTTCTTAAAGTGATCATTAAATCTACCTATCTCTTTTCCATGGTGCATTTTTAAGCGAAAACTATCTATCATAACAAAGAATAAAGCAATTGAATCTTGCTTCTGCCGTATCTGCTGAGCAACAAAAATGGTAAAACTACTCACGTTCCACAAAATAAGAGCTGGCGTCAATCTTCCAGATGATCTGTCCCCGTTGAGAACCATTGACTCCACGGTTCTTATAGTCCAAAAAGTTTTCAGACAAGACTTCATCTATATCCACAGAAGAAGAGAGCAATGAAGAGAAACATATCAGTCAACAGCATATTTAGAAAAAAAAAAAAAAAAAAAGAAAAGAGCAAAGGATACAAATGCCATTCCCAGCTTAATAGAAGAAAAAGCACCTGGAGTCAGAGAGCTGGAACATCAAAAGACACCAGCAGGACCAACTCCTTTTTCTCCCCACCTAACACTTCTGGACAGTGGTTATCTAGCTGGCTCTTGAACACTTCCAAAAGCAGAGCTAATCACTGTGTTGAGAGGTAATTTCACTTTTGAATACCTCTTAATGTTTAAAGAGGTGTTCCTCCTATAGCTTCCCCATTTGAGACTGAAGATGGGACATCAACAGAATGCCCCATCACTCTTTCCATCTGGGGTCCTGATCTTATGGACCCCATCCTGTATCATCTCCTCTCTGGGCGCCACATGAAACTCGTTCATTCATCCCTTCATGAACTCAGACAGTCTCTTGTTCATTCCCGCTGAGACTCATCACCAGATACCAGGGAAGGCGTAGGGGCTGTGTTCTTCGTGAAATCAATATAGTATCTTCTGAACTAATGCTTACAAACAACTGACGCAAAAAAAAATAAAAAAGTACCATCGTAATTTGTGATAAGAGATATGAAGGAAAAGAGAAGGGGGTGCTACAACAGAGAAGGACAAGGAAGGAGGCCAACAGAGTGGTCAGGGGGTGCTGAAGAGTGAGAAGAGCCACAGGGCCAGAAAACAAAGGTGGTGTTGGAAGGTTGGGTGGGTAGAGCTCGGATATCCTGAGCTCAGCTGGTGAGTGATTGTGCACTTTTGCCCTGTATCTCTTCTCATCACTTTGCAAGCCACTGATTTGCATCTTAAAGCAGACGCCCACAGAGGAGAGCTGTACTCTTGGAAAGGACAGATCCTAGAAGATCAAAGTCACTTTCACCTCCTTAATTTCAGGCACTACACTTTCAGTGAAGATGAAGATAGAGATACAAGTTTTATCTTGATCTTTTATGGCTATTATAGTTTCCACTTTCCCAGAAATCGGCTGAGATAGTTGGATCTGAGGCTGTGGGAAAAACTAAGTTTTGAGGGTCCATATCCAACATAAAAGCTGCAAGGACAGCTTTAGCAACGATTTCTGAGGGCAGCCCAGAGCCTTTGGCCCCTAGACAAGCAAATAGGTCATGGTTGCCTTTTTCCTCCTAAAAGAGCCACATCCTGAATCCCGCAGGACTGAGAAGATAGGCAGTGAGGAAGTTCAGAAAGGGCTGAGCTTGAAGCCAATTCTAGGTTTCTCATCTGCAAAGTGAGGGGCCGTTATAACTTCAGCTTTACAGGGGAGGAGTAAGGGAGACATCTAAATGACTTGTAAACTGATATGTTGATTGCACATTTTTGGATGCCCTTTCCTTGTAAAGTTGACTGGGTAGAGTGATACTGCCTTTGCCTTGTTAAACAAGAACTGTTTGCATGCTTTGGAAAGTCTCTTGTTTGTAAAATTTGCCTGTCTTTATATGCGCAGTGTGTGCTCACAGCCTGGTTTGGGCTTCTAAGATGATTGCATAATAAATCTTTCATAGTAATTGCCTCATTTCTGCAAGAAGCCTAATATTTTCTTAGCTCCCTAGGTCTTCAGGACAGATATAAAGTCTCATACCTAGGTAGAAATTTGCCTCATTATTGCAGTTCTCCAGGGGATGGTATTTACTTAAATCTATCTCCTTGGATCACCTGAATATTCACTTTAATAATCACAGTTAGGTATTCACATACTGTGACACCTAGACAGGAATGCCCACTCCTGTATGAAATAATTTATATTGCACATTTGGCTCCATTGCAGGCATTATACCAGGGACACACCAGCCAACAGCCCCAGGGTCTGAATTCTCAGGGAGTCTCTAATATACTTGAGAATTTATTCAAGAAAACAATCAATTTCATTAGAATAGAGAAAGCATAAAAATGGGTTAAGTATGAAGGAACCACAGGAACACAAATGAGAAAAGAATGGGATGAGTAGGTAGAACCAGAAAAAAAAAAAAAACCCAAAAAACTAATGAAAATGGCAAAAATAAAACATTTTTAAAGAGAAAAAAAATATATTTTGCTGTATACATTTAAGCAGGGCACATTGTAAGGGTTTGATCATTAGTTCATAAATACTCCCTTCCCTGACACTAATAATAATAATAATAATACTTAATAACAAATATCAGACAAGCAAATAGAACTGTCTGCATTCCTGCCTGGACCAGGTCTCCTGAGAATTCAACCTCTTTTCCAAGGTATTAATCACCGCTGGTTAGGACACTTACTATATTTGTCTAGGAATCCAAATGCATTGGCCAGGTCAGTTGAAGAAAAACAGAATGCATCTACATATTTTGCACAGAAGTAAATTTAACAAAAGGAATTCAGTGCTGGAGAAATGGGCTGTGGGTTGAGTCTTTCTAGAATAATTCCCAGAATAATCCTGCCCACCTGGCTCCCAAGAAGGCTTATGCCCGTGTCTCACTCAGAAAGGCCACCCTTGGACCTGCGAAGGGCAAGAACTCAGGACAGTAGCTGTGGCCAAGCCCACACAATGGCCTGTCCTCCCACAAAGATGGTGACCAGCCAGCGGCAATGGAGTAGGTTATAGCCACCACTGCATCGCTGCCTGCTGATACCCAGGAACCTAGTGAGGCGACACACAACACTGTTGGAGAAAAGCTCCATTTCTCAAAGGCATATTTGGGCAGGAAAATCCCCACATTTCACTTCCCAATCTTGGGCAGGTGGAGCTAATTATGAAGAAACTAAATTGTATCCAGAGCCTGGTTGCACACGAGTGTGGGAAATATAATTACCATCGGACCAGATTCTGGGCTGGATGAAGGCACTTGTGAGAGGAGAGGACTGGGTGGACGTTGGGGGCCAAACCACTCTCACTGTGCCTGGACACGGAACGACACTTGCTGGGCTTTTTACCCAGAGGCTTTGTTTAACGTTGTCGAGGCAGAACTCTTTGTGAAAAGCACGTTTACCGCCCCCTTGTGACAGGAAGGTTACATCTACCATCCTCTACCTGTGATCTACGCAGCTTCTTTAATTCCTTTGTGTCTTATCTTCGCTACAAAATGAGGATAATATTAGAAGCTTCCTTAAAATTTTGTAGTGAGGACTAAATGAACAATTACAGGCACAAGTCTGAGAATAGTGTCAGGCATCTAATAAGCAGCTATTTCTGTTCATTGTCTGGGCTAAAAATAGGGCCTTCTATTTTAAAGCCCCATGATACTTAATGAGCAAAAGCATTAATAACAACTTGAGACATTAGCTTATGCCAGTACTACTTAAATGTAGCCATTTTATGTTTTGTACAGAACACAGAGACGTATTAAGTTCCTCAAAATAAGATTATATGGACTGGATGATGCTTATTTCTTCTGGTGCGTAGAATCCTATCTTCTGCTCCACAGTTTATAACAGAGAAAATATCTTTTCAGATTACTAAAGTTTTAATCAGAAAATTCTAGTTAAGCTTCCAAAAACAAACATACCTAAAAAATGAGAAATGTGTTTCCTTGATTATTCTTCAAAATGCTAACCATACCAGTGGTTTCCACATTCTAACTGTACAGAGGGGACAACAAACGTACTATTGCTGTTAAAAGCAGAATGGGCAAGTGAGCCATTCTCCTTTATAAACAATAACCAAGGAGAATCAAGCCAATAACCTGGCTTCCTAAGCTCATCAGAAAAAAAAATACAACATGGCTTTCATTTCTTGGAGTAACTCATGCCTTCTACACCTTCTGATACTAAAACCTTGGAAAGATCTCTAAAGAGTCTTCCACCATGCATTTTTACCAAAATAGTTTGACAAGAGAAAATGAGAAAATCTGCTCACCTTGCATAAAACAGAGCCAATGATGTAGAAGCTCCGCTGCCTCGTGCTAGGAAAGCACTCTAAGGATAAAGGGGCAGGGAAGGTCCTAAAAGCTGATGTCCCTTTCTTCCTTCCGTGGATTTTCCTTCGTGTTGCTTCTTTGAACACAAGGATTCTATTTCTGCCTCGATTCAATATGGTGCCAGCTCTTCTGTATTCTAATACAGAATTTTCCTTTGCCGCATGCAAAGGAAATTTTTCAGTTATTCAAGAGTTGGCATGAAGAAGCAATGAAGGAGGAGAAGGAGGAAGAGGGCGAATGGCTACTGCTGCATTTTTCCCACTCTGCTGTGTTAACTGTGGTGAAACTGGATTGGGAAGCAAGATTTGACTGAGAAGACATCCAAGAAGAGAACAAGAACAAAAAAGGCAGAAAATATACATGAAAGGCTAAGGAATATAGAGGATGAAAAAAATGTCAGTGGAAAAGAAAAGCCCTGAAGGTAAAAGGAATATGAAAGAATTCTGGCTGAACCACTTAGTCTCTTAGAACAAGAGATATTGTCTGGGTTAGGAAATCAATAGTGGAAAACAAATGAGAATTGCCTAGGGCTTTTAAACATTAGTGTATCAGTATCTTTGGGTGGCTAATTACTTTTTTTGTTTTTTGTTTGTTTGTTTGTTTGTGATCAGATCTTGCTAAACTGTCCAGAGTGGGCTTGAGCTTGAATCTGTGATTCTCCTGTCTCAGCCTCCCAGAATGCTGGGGTTACAGGCATGCATCACCATGCCAAGCTGGAAAAATACTTTTATAATAAAGTTATTCTGTGCTTTGTAGGATGCTGAGTAGCATCTCTTGGCTCTACTCAGTTGATGCCAACAGTACCTCCTATAATCCAAAAGTCAAAACTGTCTTCAGACACTACCAAATAGTTCCCAAGGAGTAAAAATTAACCTTGGTAGAGAATTGCTGGTTTATACTTACTTAAAAGCAATCACCATAAGAATAATAAGAGAATGCAAAACTTGTAAATCAACTGATCATTCCCAAAAAAGGAAGGAAAAAAAAAGAGACAAAGAAAATGCATTAAGTAAGGAATATGAAGACACTGGCAAAAAGAAGTCATAACAT